ACACTGAATATAAAAGAAGACCTAATATTCCTGATACATGGAAGCAGTTTATAAAAAAAAACATATTCAGTATCTTATTTCTATAGCATCTTTCCGAAAGCGAGTTTGATGTCGAGATGTAGAAGAATGAAATAAGTCTTGGAATAGACATGAGGGAGAAGAGTGACCAGTAGCGCCCTTCGTGCCTTAATTTTTATATGTAATATTTTTAGTTAGTGGAGGAGATCCCTCATCCAGCTTCTTTTGAGCTTCCTACGGATGCTATCGGGTATGTTACTTGTGGCCATGCCTTGAATCAGTGAGTTGTTATGTCCGTGTACACTTTTTAAATCAATTATATGGCTTCGCTTTTGTCTTGGAACAAGGAAAGGTCTCTGGAAGATCTGGGAACAAATAATTGCTATCGCAATATTTTAGGGTAGTTCTTATACAGTTGAAAATTTTCTTGTGCAAGATATGATTTTTTTTCCAGAGCCTATATAGTTGGGAATCATGTCACTTTTTTTTTTTTTTAGGTTTTCTCTCATTTGACTGTCTTTGACTGTCTGACAACGCAGTTGCCAATCTTTTATAATATTCTAAAAATAATATTTGGTTCTATATCTTCATGTTTTTATTAATTAATATTTTCGCAGTATCGTCTAAGCTTCCTAATTTAATTATCAAACTGAAATACTATTTATGCCCACAAACTCAAAACAACATAAAATAGAGTGGCCGCAAAGTAGGAATCGTTCATATTGTCATTGAAAGGATAAAAAAAAATGAAAATCTCGGTATCTTGACAAATTTTTCATAAAAGAAAATTGTAACTTTCTTTTACTTTAATTAAATAAAAACATCAACTTAATGCCTCCCTCAACTGTGGCAACATCAACTAAACTACGGACGAAGTACCACGGTCCATCAGGACTTACGAAGATGGATCGATGGTAATTCAACAGATGTCAGGACACTGCGAAGGGCTTACCCAGCTCCTGCAAGTGTCAGGTCTAAAACCATCCACTTGACAAAGTACTGCGACCTTTATTCAAGTTTGGAAAATTTATATAACTATATAAACTTCCATAAATATATTTTAAAAGAACTACAAAAAAATTCTATAAACTGCAATTGGTAAATTAACTATTGAAACGACTTTGATAAAGTACGATAAAATACAATAAATGGTAATAATAATAATGGGATTATTAACAATCCTTACCAACAAAATATTAATATTCTCCACGAGATGTCGAAAGCAGCATCTAAATCTACAAAGTCAATGTTAATATTTTACAATCTCCTTGCTACTGTCAGCATTTTGGCGTTTCATTCTATCGGACCAAAAATTCCGTCGATTTTTTCGCTTAGTTTCTAAACTCAGCTCTGAGCTCACAGAAGAGCATCGAAAACCCATCAGGTCATTCCTTAACTTATTGACGGATCCAAATATGAAATTCAGCACATTCGATATAGGCTCGATTAGTCCGCGAGATGTTGTTATTAAATCAAACTGTAGAATCTCATTATTGTTATCACTTAATGTATTTTAAATATTTTTATTCGGCTTATTTTATATCTGCATTTATTTTTATTTTTAGATTCACCAATTAAATGAAACGACAGACTTTAAACAACCGACTGAAGATACTGTACCCACATTTTTTCGAAATAGAAATTGAAAATTCGACAAATACATACACTTACCTACTCAAACCCATCTGGACATACGTTTCCCAGATTTACGGTTAGGCAAAAAAAAAAACATACTTACAAAAACTATAATCAATTCAATTCAAAGTTTTACGAATTACAACAGGAGCTCCCTTGTACATCAACAACAATACTTTACACAACGACTTACGACGGCCAACTATAGACCAACAAATACGTACTCTCTACTCTCGTTTTCATCTCAAACTACACGGACACACAAACAGACTTATGAACGACATGGCCACGACTGACATGCCCATCAGGAGGAGAATAGAAAGGAGCTGGATGAGAGATCTCCTGACCTAAATCAAGGAATTAAATAACGACCAGGAAGAGATGCTGCTATCCTTCCTCAAGCCTATAATGTCAATTGATATATTATCACAACACATCTGCTGATTGTCAATACCATGACAGGTGCGGATACAGACCTACAGTTACAAAAAAAACAACAATTCAATAAGTTAATATTTGCTTATATATTCTTTTATATTTCATAGGTTTTGTAACCTTCTAGAAGAAACAACGCTTCCTCAGGTCGTTCCTAAATTTAGCATAAATCGCTATCCATCGCAGCAGATTCAATCGATTGACTGATTCCTTCGATGAAGTTCGTGAACTATTATATAAATCATGGGTGATAAATATTCAAGACGCAGTAATTTTAAAGTTTTTCTTAGCGCCGACGCTTCAACCCATAAATGTGAGTTATCATCGGGGCGTGATTCGACCAATGAAGGTATTCAATATTTGAGACTGTTGCTGTTTCAATAGTTAATTTACGTATTACAGACTATAGAAATCTATTGTCGTTCTTTTTAAGTATATTTAACGAACTTAATTCTACCAAGTACTTGAATACTAGTCCATGGTACATAAATCGAACCAGTTTTAGCAACGATTGTATTGATTGAATGATGATTGACGATTGTACATTGTATTGAATTTTATACACTGGTTTTAATAATTGTTCACTGGCCCGTTTACATTGCTTTAGTTCATCAAAAAAATCGCACTCTAATAATTTCTTTGATCAGCAAAATTAGTCTAATTCAATTTTATTATTTTTAATTAACATATTTAAAATTGAAAAAAAAAGTTTGAAACCGTTTGGAAAGCATATGAATGGGTAAACCAGATTTTTATTTAAATAATTGCTGACATTGTATTTCTATTGATTGTCTTTATTCTATAATTCTTCCATTCCAAGTAGACCTATAGACCTATCACTATCTTTCTTTACGATTCCTTTAATGTATTGTCAAGTTAATTTTATTAATTTGGTTGGACTTTCCTATGTATATGTCAATACATCATCTAAATTTATCTATTCTGTATCGTTCTTCTAAGATCTAAAGTAACATGTTTGATAAATAGTAATAAGCTTACAGATAACTGCAAGACTTGCGCAAGACCAAAACCATGACCAAGACTGAGTGCACAAGACCAAAACTCGTCTTGATGTTGCAATTATGTAACACTATTTTCATGTAATTTACTTCTTTGGCATTTTACAATCAATTTTAAAACAAATAACTTTACAATTCTATTTCAATTTCTATGTTGTGACCGTGTGGATTATTGAATATTAACAGAAGCAATGTCGTTTCATTTCGAATATTCCCTTTGTAAATTATTGTCAGCACAAGAATGAATCGACTTAAGCTTATACACAAATGCATCGCGTTAGGTTTGTACACTAATGTATCGATTATACATCAAATTCAGATGAAGTAATTATTATGCAATGAACACAGAGCTAATTTAACTAGATTGCTAGAACTAGCATGGCTGTTAAATCTATCGACTTTATAAGTAATATAGGTATATGATTGCGAGAAAGGAAATAATTTAGATTAATTCAGTCTCAACGTCTAAAGGAGTTCCAAAAATAAATCCAAATGCTTGTTGTAAGCCTGGCTTTATGTTTAATATTTTCTAGGAAAAAAAGATAGTTCCTCAACGTGATTACTAATTTTTATTTGTCCATGCCTGTAATAATCTGAGACACTAAAAAAAATGTCCATACAAATTCCATAAAGCCAGCAGTTCTGTACTCAATCATAGCTATTATACATTTCACTATCAATATATAGTCCGTGGTACAAACCCCTTTTTATATTTATTAACAAATTATTAACATCCTCCTAAAAGTTCATGAATGGCTTCATCACCTCGTAACCTACAGATTTTTTATCTTCGAAAATTCACAGAAATGGGAAGTTTTCCCATTAAATTAATTAATTTAAGTAGGTAATAAAAACTCAAAGCCCACTTGATTAAGTCCAATAAATATATTAGGCCTTTTGGCCTATATAACCTCGTTATTTTGACATATAGAAAATGGAGGTCACGCCAAACGGCCCAATATTTTTTAAGGCCAGCATTTTTCTCGATATTATGATCAAATTATCTTATGATTCAAGTAGGAAGCAAATGACTGTTCATGAGTTTTTCGTACCTGATTAAATTTTTCCGATCTCCGATGAATCTATTCACTAATTAATAATGAATACACTAATAATTGTGTTATTATTCAATAAAATAAAAATTACATTGACGATATTTGTGCTTAAACTCTAGACATTGGTCATTCGATTTTCACATCAAAATAACAATAACAAGATAAATAAATGAATAAAGCTAGATCTTAAAATATTGTATATTTCCTATAAATATTTAATTCATTCGTGTAGATTAATTGATACTGATTTTTATTTTATTTTTGTACCTCAACATATTGAGGGGGGTGGCGAATCTATATTCTTGCTTCCTCTCTATTTTTATTGGCGGTGGCGATCACCCTTCTTACCTACTCCTCCTCCGAAGTTTGTTCCAATGATAAAAATACCAGCAGAGAAATTTAAATAAAACATAGCAGCCTCATTTATTACTGACTAACCTAAATGCGTCCACGAATAATTATTATTTAGGTTAGGAAGTTAGGGTTACGTTAGAAATTCAGGTTAGCTGATAAGTAATAAACCTTACAATAACAATAATAATAAAGTTCTCCTCCTATACCTAGTCCTGTCATAAATATTGTTACAATGAAATATATACAGATTTCAACAGAAAAGTTAATTTTTTCAAAAACATTGTTAGACAATAAAATGTATAAGTATAGGGAGTAAAACAAAAAAGAAATTACTCAAAAAGTCTCCCTTTTGCCTTGACACAGGCATTTAATCTCCGTGGTCAGTCATCAATAGCAGCACGCAGGACTTCTTAAGGAAAGTGCTCAACTGTTGGGACCAGAGATTGTTTGAGGCTTTCCAAGTTAGGATGTGCTCTGTGGCATGTCATCCTCTCCAGTTCGAACCAGAGGCGATAACCTGGTGGGTTGAGATCAGTGCTCCCTGAGGGTCAATCCGAGGAAGAGATGAACTCTGGAATGTTCTTTTGCAGCCACTGCTGAGTTGACCTGGCCTTGTGAGCTGGAGCGGAATCCTGCTGGAAAACCGAATGACTTCTAACAAAGTATCATTTAGAGGCTTGGCAACAGATTTAAAAATATCGTTCTGATAGTTTTTAGTGGCTGTTAGCAAATATGGAGCTTTGAGGTGCCATCAAAGCAAACTCCACATCAAACCATCACCGAGGAAGTGTGATTACCACTTTCCACTCTTCCAATGACTTCCTGGGCTTCTTTAGAGCTGTGTATGTACACACATATTTATTGGCGTTTAAATTTTTCTTCAATTGTAAACATTTTCTCATCACTAAAAAAAAATCTTTCGACTAAAATCATTGGTATAACGGCCAAGGAGCACTTTGCATCTATCCACTCTATTTTTTTTTTAGGGAAGTGGTTAGCCATTGTCCTGTAATTTTTCAAATTGCACCCATCCTTAGGTCACTTTTATCATGCGAGACATTGGTCTGATAGAGATTCCGATTTTCCGATAAATGATTTGTTGTCTTCGAATGCGATTTCTTATGATTTGTGCAGCCACTACTCTCACTGCATTTGCCGTTCTCACAGTGCGGAGAGGGCCCGGTCGAGGTATGTAACATACAGATAGGTTCTCATTGTATCTATTTATAGTGCGGTCCACGAACATACGGCTGATACCCAAAGGTGTTGAAAATCTGTGACCTACATTTTTCATCTTTCTGTTAGGCGATCACAGCATTTCTGTTTCCTTAATCATCCCACTCTATGTTAACTGAGCGAAAGAAAAATGCAAACTAATTGGGATTATTATCCTGACATATAAAATAATCTGATAGAGGTAAGGATTATCTAAATAATACCCAAGGATGTAAACAAAGTTCAAATTTTGTTACAGTAGTTATGGTATAAAATTGGTAATTTATTCCATTGTTAAATCACTATGCCTAGCACTTAGCCAATATATCTTCAGATAATATATATTATTACGGAGCAGACTAAACTTTATGACAACAATAAGATATCATATTGTTATCTTGAAGTTGAAGGAGACACTTCGGGACAATATATCTGTAAGGATTGCATTACAAAAGACCCTAATTTGAGGTAAGCCATGGATGGCAGAGGAGAGCACTAGTAGTCAATTGAGGCACTTCCGTCCTCTACTGCCTATTGTATAAGGATATCTAACTACTCCTCTGTATTTCCTTTCATTAAAATTATGTTCCAATAGCATTTACATATTTCACATAATGCAAACTCTGAATACATCATTATCGTAACTAAATTATTATTGAAGGGCATGTTCAGTAAAAAAAAAAAAAAAAAAAAATGATATTTATTTATATATTTGGCGACGTTTCGGTTCAAATTTGAAGCTTTCATCGTGGCTAAGAAAAAACAATATAGATAACAGATAACAATATGAGAAACTAGTATATTATGAAAAAAAAATGATATTAATAATAATTTAAAGAACATATAGTAAAACGCTTGTTGTATTATTGAAGATCCATTTGCGGCAGGCGTATTAAGTTTGGTTATAATATTGATTTATACAGAATTACTTTTTTAATAGAACATCTTTCTGGCCTTCCATAATTTTAAATTACTATGCTGGCTAAATAGAAGTTTATAATCGAATTTTACGCTTAAGTATTTAACAGATTCGGTACACATAATGATATGAAACAGACAAAAAAGTTAGAATACTTAAATATAATAAAATATGTTGTCAATATTTCGATTACGGCGATAACAAGATAGTGTATCGTATTTTACATTGTAGTTGGTGTGGTATTGTAGATTTACAATTGAAGAGCCCTTAGTGTAGAAGAAATGTGTGTTTTCATATATAACCAACCGTCGGATTTCAGACAAGGTTTATAAAAGACCCCATTACCCTCTAATTACGTGAATTTTGCGTTTACTTAACGCGAACTGCTGAAAGGAACTTCGTATTCTCCGAAAATCGCATAGCCTGCTTGTTCAAAACAATCTAACGCCCCTTAATACCCACTGTTAATCAAACCAGTACATCAATATTAGTTTCAAAACGCTTTACTCTGTACAGCGTTAGTATACGTGACAACTGGATCAAACTTAAAGCGGATAACACTTTATTTTACCACTAAATAGAATTATTAACAGTCAACTTCACCTTCATTCGCACTTAATCCATTATCCGATTTTATTCAAGCACATTTTTTTTTCAATCATCGGGTTTTTCAGGGTGTTATTTTCGTTGTTATGAATTACTTACGTTATATGAAATAAAAAATAAAAAAAAGAAAAGAAAAAAAAAACCTGTACCACTACAACCCATGATGGTTTTGGGGTTCAGTACTATTTAGGGAAAGCGCTGTTTCTAGGTCAACGGTTATGAAAGGAGGGGATTTGACCGATATCACGCTAAACTGCCAGGTTTTCCCCCTCAATTAATTGTTTAATTAAGGGTAACCACTTTATAGAGGCTGGGTGTGCCCAAAGGAGGGTCTCCCGACCCAGGGTCGCCCCACGGCCAATGAAACAGATAAATAAATTTTCTGTCATGAGCCGGGGTTCGAACCTGGGACTGTTAGCATTGGAAGCTCAGTACCCTACCACTGAGCTACCCCACTCCTCTTATGAAATAAATAAAACCTATTTATTTGTTCTAACTTCTTCATTAATTAAATAAAAACATTAACATAATAATAGTAATGAAATAAATAATAAATTAAAAGTAATAATAATTACTATGATTCTCTAACGGGTCCAGGATTTAATTTGAGAAGGTGGAGGCTTCAGCCCGAAAGTTTTTTTTTTGATAAATATATAAGGATAATCACTTCGGAAAAAAGAAAGCAACTAATTACCTATATGAAATAGTGTTTAAGTGATTGTTGAAGTCCTATTAACTGTAATTAGACGAACAATAATGCTTTTAAAGATAATTTTTTTCATAAAACATGGTTATATTTTAACATTTTCAGCCCGGAAGACCTCCCTCTCCCCCCCCCACCCCTCTTCCCTCCGTAGCTATGCTTTGGTTTAGTTACACATATTCCACTACAACTGAGAAGGGACATGTGGCTTCAATTAAATATTTGTCCTGCATATTACGGAAGACGTCACTCTTCAACCGTACCAATCAATGGATTGGCCGCGAAGGACCAGTGGCTTGGCCTGCACACTCTCCAGACCTGATATCGCTGGATTTTTTTTGTTTGGTGTGACATCAAACAAAATGTCTATGTCAATGACCTTAGTTCCTTACGAAGAAGGATAATTGAATCTTGCGATCTGCCACTGCTGTTGTTGAAGAAAGATGCCGAGCTTGTCTTAATGCTCAAGGAAATCAATTTTAACATTATTTAATATGAATTTAATGTTTATGTTTAATTAATAAAGTAGATGGAACAAATAAATAAGTTTAATTTACTTAATATAACGTAAATAATTCAGAACAATGAAATCTTTAGGTGGGAATATCTCCCAAACAAATCTTTTGTGGGCGTACCTTCATAAGATTTTTTTTTTTGTAGGTCCTTAATTCATATTTCTAGTTTTGCCACTTAACTCTGAAGCATCGTGTATTGGATGAGCACATTGTATGATTAAATAAATGACCTATATTAACACATAATTTATAGCAACCAAGAAATATTATGGGAGGCTAAATTTGATTAATCTTCACGGATTTAGTATATTGGGTACAATAAAACTCCTTATCATTTTATTATTGTCTGTTGTTAATTGGAGTTAAGAGTCCTTAAAAGGATCACTTAGGATGGGAAGGGCGGGAATCTTTATTTTATTTCCCTAGCTACCAATCTGTTCTGACTAAAGTGAGAAGGTTGAAATTTAATGGGCCCGTTAAGAAATTATAGACATTCTCCAGTTCAGATTCGAACCGGTGATGCTTCTGACCCGAAAATAATATAGAGCCTCCTCAAGACACTGAAGTATAAGATCCAATTGTTCTGTTTTAAAAATATTTAATGTAATGAACAAGTCATGATTTCAATTTGTAAACATCATTCATATTCCAAGTTATTTATTTGTAAATATCAACTTTAAGATTGAATGATATCTATTAACAAAAACTTGTACCAGGTAGTTTGTAAAGAAGTACTATTTGAAGGCCAACAGTTGTGCAGGAAGGTGATTGGGCCGACATCACGCTAAACAGCCAGATTTTTCGCTATATCCAATTATTTAATTAAGAAGACCCATTTTATAGAGGCTGGGTGTTTCCCAGGAGGTTCTCCTCATCTCTGGCTTGATGGACGGCTGATGAATCAGAATAACTAATAATCCGCCACAACCGAAATCGAACCTGGTACCTTGAGCATAACATCACCATTAGTGTTGCCCAAATAGGAGACTGAGACGAGTATACTTTCAACTGCTAATTTTTAAGAAATGTTGGGTATGGAGAGGAGCCATCTGAAGAGTATGGCGGAATCTATTATTATGGATTCGCTAGGAATTGTGAACCATCGCGTAGATTAATTCTGGCTATTTCTTTTTGAATTTTAGGTACAGAAGTGAAAAGGAATAAAATAATGGGAAAATTATAATTATTAATGGATAAATTATTATATTTAGTACTTTGGACAATAGTCCCGTAAAACTTTATATTTTTTGTCTCACTTATTACCATACTATGTTAAGAAAACCTTAATAAAGGTATTCTGAACATAGGTCACTTTAGTTAATGCTTTAGTAAAAGTATCACCTTAACAAAGGTAACCTAAACATATATTACATTAACAAAAATCTCCTTAATATAGATCACCAAAGCAAAGGTCACTGTAAAGGGCACCTCAGCAAAGATCACCTTAATATCGGTCTCCTTAACATAAGTGATCATCTTAGCAAAAGACACCTTTGTAAAGGTCTCCTTAGTAAAAATATCTTTGATAAAGTTCAACTTAACAAACGTTATTTTAATATATGTAATCTTAGTAACAGTCTCGTTAACAAATTTAACATTGATAAAGTTAATCTTAATAAATTTAACCTTAACAAAGATTATCTTAGAAAAGGTCAACTTATCAAAGGTTAATCAAACAAAGATCACCTTAATAAAGGATTCATTAACAAAGGTCAGCTTAATAAAGTTCTCTTTAATAAAAGTCACCTTAGCAAACGTTACCTTAATAAAGGAAACATTAATAAAGGTCACCTCAGTATCGATATCCTTAACAACGCTAAAATGTATTACTTAATTAAAGATTATCTTAAAAATTTAGCTTAACAAGGATTACCTTAATAAAGGCTTCCTTAACATAGGTCACATTAATAAAGGTTTCCTTAGCATAGGTCACTATAGTTAAAAGTTAGACAGATCAGTATGCAGGATCATTTAGAAACTCAATACATTTCAGCAGGCGTACAATTTTATTATACTTCTCTTTATTCGAATTTGCATAATCAACTCGACTTAATGAGCTAGATAATTCTGAAGTCCTTCTCTTTTGTGAGTGTGGGAGCGATTCAATCTTGGCTCATTGATACCTAAATCGGACCGAACAAATAGTTACTGGAAAATATTTTACATACATACGAAACGCTTTTAATTTTAATTTTTTTATTTCCATTTGATTTTATTTCATTTTTAATAAATATTATTATATAATAACTTAAAGAGTAATTATAAATTTTGAAATTTTATGAAGCATTGTAACTCAAAGAGTACATACTCTATGCAAAATAGAATATTATATGTATGTCATTTATAGTTAAATTTTTAAACATACTATAACCTTTAATATGTCAAAATTATAAAGATAATAAACCAAAAATTGAAAACGATAAAACAGAAAGAGAAATAAGAAAAGTTATTTCAATATTTTCATCCTAGCTTACACATAATTCTACCATGAAAATAATACGCAAGCTTCCATACCCTAGTTTCACGACGTATTGCGTAATCGTTTCAAACTCCTTCCAAGTTGCCTTCGGAATGGGAAGACCTATTTCGCCTGCTACTTCGGGAATCCTAGCAGTTCGTCTTCTGGAAATTCGGGGTGTAAAAAGAAAGCATGTTTTATTCCCTAGTCACGAAGTGTTCTTCAATTACTCCATGCTCTGGTTTGGCCTACTTTACACTTGGTCTGTTTGTTAAATTGCCTGTGGGGGTTCACTAACAAGCAACTTTTCTTCCCAAGTTTGGGGTGGCGCTCATTTTAAATTTCTTCTGAAGGTTGTTGATTGTTGCCTTTAACTTTCTTTTTTGATTATTAAACATAGGCTTAATTGCCATGGGAACATGGAGAATCATCAAGGACACTTTCCGTTTACAACGACTTCAGATGAATGCCTGATGAATAAACTAATGCTTACTATCAGGAACCACACTTATTATTATTCGCATACTTTTATTTAAGTCTTGTATACCTTCCTCTGAACAGTTTATTTTACATTTGATGATTTAAAAGCATCTTTAATGTTATGCATTTGTACATATTCAGAAGAAGGTAGACATTTTTACATATTTGAAGTATATCTACAAGTCAAGGATGACTAGAATGTAATGTATAATAAGGTGCAAATTTTTGATCCATCAAAAATTTCATAGAAGTCAAATTTTTACGGAGTTCTGAATTATTGAGGAGGAGGAGATATTTTGAGGTGATCAAGAGTTTTTGGAGGAAATTATTTTTATTTATTTATTTTTATGCGGTTTCAATTTATAAGGGGAAAATATGAAATACAATAAAACAAGTGTGTAATACAAGCACCTACAAAATTTCGTTTATAATGTATTATAGACTATGTTGATTTAAAACAGAGGCATATTATTTGTTTCAACAATATACAACATTGTGTAAGATGAGCTTAATTCTTTATTCTACTCATTTTATCTCCCTTATTACCTATTCTTACTCGTTAGAGAAATAAATATACATTTTTAGCCAAATAAAATCATTGTAGTAATTCAGACATTAATCATTCTTAATTTTTGAGCTGCAGATCTTTATTATAATCAAAATTAATTATCCTAACAAATATTTAGTATTTAGTACAAATAAAAGTGTAGTTAATATAATTATTTTAAGCTAGTTTTAATATATTTCAATTTAAGTAAATTTAATAAATATAAATTGATTAAATTTACAACTTTTTACATGACTTGATCAATCGATATTCTTATTCATATGAATTTAACCATATTTATGCGCTTTGGTGTGAGAGAACAGAAAAGATCTAACTACAATACTCTTCTTTGCCAACACTTTATTTATGCTTCTCAGAATCCTTTTATTGTAATTGTATATGACCTATAATTTTTTTCATTCTAATTTCACTTGCAATGTTTTAAGGGGTAGAAAGGATTTATCCTATAGACAACTGACCAATTACATCCAAAGGGGAGAAGTCAAAATTTATTCTGTGGTTCCATTAAATTTTTTACCCACGCGTGTCGCATTCCAACCAACTCTATTAGACAAGAGGTCGCCATGGTTATGACACCTTAACGCTCATGGCTGTCAATTATATCGAAATTATAAAAAAGGATGGTATTTTACAACAATTGAAGTAATTTCTCTTGTATTTTCCTGCATAATATCTGATAGAAAAATAGGAAACTACAATTAGATAAGAGCTACTTAAAACTAAGAATGATGCTTGGTATTTTCAATTTTTAAAGTTTTTAAATCCCACTGTTCGGATTAGAAATATTTTTAAAAAAATTGAAAATATCCCTTGTCCGAAAATGTTCGAATATTTGTATCAGTTTTACTGATGTTGTAGGTAACTAATATAAAATAATATAAACATAATGGAACTTATTAAATTATTTTTTTTCTAAAGTAAATTTAAAGGATTAAATCTCTTTCAGACTTCAAATGAAGGGTTATAAATCTGTCAAAAGTGATGGTGCCTGAGGGATTCGAATTGTTGTTTTCTTTTTTAAAAATAAAATATACGGGCTGTCAAAAACTTGAATGAAAAAAGTTTTTAATGTGTTTGTTAATGGGATATTTTAAAGGCATTGCCTGTATAAATGAAGAAATAGATTTATTATAGTTGTGCACGTAGATTATTAAGAAAAGAAGTAAAACAACCTTGAATACACTTCATATTCATTTTCTTATTCAGTTTTAAATTAATGCATTATAGTAATTATTACATAGCAAATGGGTATACTAGAATTTTTAGTACCTAATTAAATAGACAACGTTTGCCGATCTTCAGATTGAAAACGCCCCGATTCCAAGATATACGTTCGTACTCTAATAAAAATAAGATATATATAAAAAAAAAAAATTAAAAAAAACACGTATTTTCTGCCAAATAAAATAGTTATAAGTTACGATGAGATGAAACTATTTACGAAGTTGAGACGGGTGTTAATAATTTGATAAAAAGAGGTCTGTACCACTGAATATAAATAGTTACATGCATACACTGAAAACTGTCCATTACTGGTGCAGTGTCTATTACTATAGCTCAGTAACTGTTTAATCGGTCATATGCATTTAATATAAAATACAAAAGAAGCCATGCCTTATATTTCGATGTTCATCAAAAAACGCTATTTCTGAATTTATATACTTCCAATGAATAGAATTTTCCCTTTAAAACAAAATGAAGTTTGTTATTGCTTATTTGAAATAATTTCTTCATCAATTAGGATTATACAGAGCTCATTTTTATCGATTTAATGATAAAATTTTCTTACGATCCAGGTGAAAAGATAATGAGCATACTAGAGTTTTTAGTAAATAATTTAATAGACAAATTTTGCCGCTCTCCAGATTGAAAATGCCCCAATTCCAAGAGTTTTCGCAAATAAAATAGTTATAAGCAACGATGAGATGAAAATATTCACGAAGTTTAAGACGGGTGTTAATAATTTGATAAAAAGAGGTCTGTACCACTGACTATAAATAGTTACATACATATAGAAATAAATTGAATATGTTATAAATAAAAAAAAGGTGAAACAGTTAAAATATAATAAAAACGGCAATTATGTAAAAATATAAATTAAAAGGATTGAATTTGCTAATGAAAAGAAAATACACTAAGAAAGAATTTAAAAAATAATATTCCATGGCTTGGAACCTAGAGCTTCTTAGTTAAAGTATTACTTAGTATGGCAAATATAAATACTCATATTATACAGAAATGTAATTGTTTATAATGAATAATTTAATTTTGAGGATTCCAGTTGTGAAATAAAAAAATGTGGTACGCGCAACACACAACTTTCACTTACCGCTCTGCTTTGAATAGAAATTATTTTTTGACCATGTTAGGCTATTATAAAATTTTTGAAGTGCATTTTAAACGGAACTAAAGCTGAAAGCTTACTGATAACAAATCATTAGGACCATTAAAATAACATACCATTAAAACCATTCAAATAACGTCATTAAGATCATTAAGGAAATAGTACTTTGTCTTATTTATCTTTCTTTTTATGTCAGTATTTGTGATTTTAGAAATAGAAATAGAAAAATCATCTTTATTCTGGGACTAGGTCCCTTTAGAATAACAGTATTGTTCATATATATATTAACTACAAATCTGGTCAAAAGACTTATTACAATGAATAATGACAAAATACATGTAATACATTAAGTATTAATTAAGCTCTTAAGATAAATTAACGAGGACAGTTGGGTAATAGGGGTTCAGTACTACAATATTGGAGCTAAAATAATTGCATAATAATCACTGAATGAAATTAGAAAGGAAAGTAAAATCTATTTTATAGGTAAAGCATTGTATTGATGGAATATAAAAATTTAAAAAAAATAATAATAATTTTATATTAATTTAAACGGACATAATAACAGATTAAGCTCTACTTTGAATAGAAATTATTTTCTGGCAAAGTTGGGCTATAATACAATATAATGATTAGGATGATAAGTTTCATTCTCACATTTTTTATAACATTAAAAGTTAAATTCTAAAATTTTATTTACAATGAAATCACTTCTTCTTATTGTCAAGAATATGACAGGTGTGGATAGAAGTATGAAAAGAAAAAAAAATATTCTACAAAAAAAATCTGGTGCGCGCAACACATAAATTTCATTTACCGCTCTAATTTGAATAGAAATTATTTTCTGGCAATGTTGGACTTTTGTAAACATTTTTAACTGTATTTTAAACCGAGCTAAAGCTTAACGCCTACTGATAAAAAAAAAATCCTTAAGACCATTAAAATTACAGTCTGTTTATTATATCGACGGTAGGCAATAAAAATCTAGTTACTCCGTCTGCTTTTATAAACCATATAGCTTCAGTCTTTGAGCCTTTCAGTTTATAGAATGACTAAATCCAATTTCAACATTTTTTGAGTAATGTCATTTTAGTTATATTTCTAATTTGAAAAGTTGCATCAACAGATACAGTGAGTAAGTGGATTCCAGAATAGGTGATTGCAGTGTTGAAATATAGAACTGTAAATAAAGTTATACATTTTGCCACTAGTCTAATTAAAGCACTAAAATTAATTAAGTCAACCGAAAGACTCATATATGTCTTCAGAGAATTGAAAATACATGTGAATATTTAACACATAAATGATTATGGATTGTAAGACTATCAGTTATTAAACTGTTATTTTCCATTGTTAAGTTTTCTAAAACGAAATTACGAGATTTTCATCCACTGCCATGGATAGGTCAAAAGTTGTCACACTAATTGTAAGTGGATAATGGTGAGATTTCACAAAAGGGAAATTCATCAGCTTACTCACTAATTTAATTTTCTAAAAGGTTACTTGATAATTTTTTGAAATAAACGGCCAATAGATACCAAATTATTAAAATACAATATCCTATCAAGAATTATTAACCTACAGAAAATGTATTTAAGGTTAAAACATATTTATGAAATATTTTTATATTTCACTTCTGTTTTCACATAAGTACAATGAAATAGTATTTTAAACAAGTCATTGGTGGATTTTTAATTGATAGGCTTTATTTCAAAATTAGAAAAAGTTTACAATCGGTTAGAAAATTTCATTTAATTTCCTTGAAAACGTGTGATTTTACGTTGAATGATGTTAGTTTTCTGAAATTCTGTATACTTATATCGTCACTCTCCGTTGCTTTCTACAACTTTATTCATTTGATATTATTTTTTTTTAAATTCTCCGCATTCCGATATATTACACGTATACCTACTGACTATGATTTCTGGAGATTCATTTTTCTTTTTCCTTCAGTTCCCAATTATCATATTCTTTCAAACTCCATATTTAGCCATTTTTTATAGTTACTGTCAATAAAATGGAGTTATTTTTTTTGTAAATAAACCATACTTTAGAGGAAGACGTATATGAACATTGGACATTTAAGCCCAGAAAAGTGCTTCAATAACTGGGGATAAGACCTAAATGATATTAAAGACCACTTCATTATACAATGATACACTGAGTTTAATCAAAATCATTAAAGCCGTTTTTGGGAAATTGTAAAAATGTGTTTCACCATTGATATAAAGTACTACTTCCGGTTAGTTAATTTTAAGGAAAAAGTTGCTGTCATATCTAAGGCATATACCTATCTTAAGTTCGTAATATCAGTTTCATTTTGCGGAACTTGGTTATTTGGACTCAGGGAACCTCAAAACGTGTATTTCCGTTGAAAACTCAGATTCGAAAACTTTCACGATCGCAATACTTTCCCTTACTATATATTACATCTATAGGTAAGTGAAAGTAATATCTCATTCAACTTCATCAGGTTCTCTATTGTTTACAAACTCAGTTGCTACATCTATATATAAAATTCATTAAGTAATGAATTCAATTCAATTCAATTCTCAAATTTAGCATTTTTTTTTAAACGTTATAATTTTTTTGGCTTTTGGATGATACATATTTTCAATTCAAAATTAAATATATTAGAGATATGAAAGAAGTGGAAGTTGTAATGGGACCCTATTTTTTTTAAAGAGATAATGGCAATGTTTGCTGGCTTGTACTACCAATTTTCATTGAAAACTGATTGGGAGGTACGTTTAATTAGACATTTCCAGAGAGATGGCGTTTTGTACTGGGAGGCTCCGTACGGTCCATGGTCGAATGTAGAGTATCAATACCTGATTGGCTATACGTCTGGACCAATCAGCAAATGGAGATGTCGTGAATCAACTCTGTTCAAATGCCCCGCGGACCACAGATGAAAGATATATCTCCCTTGTTCCTCACGAGTATTGAGGTAAATATACCAGCAATGCACACTTAAAGAGAAATCTTCATCATTAATGCAAATCACAGCTTTAACTCAGATCATTACGAATAAGTTTATTGTCAACAAATTTAATATTTTATCAATTTGTTTATTGTTTCCAATCAATTAGTTAGTTATTCATGAAAAACTTAGAAAATTCCAAACGCCTGTATTGCACCAGTAATCGAAGCCCAGGTTTTAGGGAGGTCGCTATATTTTCTTATATAATTAAAAATCATAAAAATAAATTATGCACATT